AAGAGAGGAGGGGAGGGGAGGGGAGGGGAGAGGAGGGAAGGGGAGGGGAGGAGAGGGGAGGGAAGGGGAGGAAAGGAGAGGGAGGGGAGGAAAGGAGAGGGAGGGAGGAAGGAAGGAAGGAGAAAAAGAAGAGAGAAAGAAAGAAAAAGGTGAAAATCCATCCAAATGAAACAAAGACCTGGGAGTCTGAAAGACAAGAAGCAGAAAGGAAAGAGAGAGAAGAGATGAGAGAGAAAGGGGGAGATTGAGAAGCTGAAAAGGAAAAGGGGTGGAAGAGATGAAGCTGCAGAGGCTGGGTGTGGCTCTAAATGCCGGCGATAATCTTCACAACCTGCCACTGAGGCAGGGAGCGTTCTCATCACCCCCGGTTCTTTCCAGAGGCGCACTAGAAGGTCACAGATGGGTGAGGCTGGGGCTGGTCCTGGGGACCCCTATTCTTCCTTCTATGTTGTTTTTTTTTAAGAGACAGGATCTCTTCTCCTCTTCTGTCTCCCAGGCTGGAGGGCAGTGGGCAGTCACAGCTCCCTGCAGCCTCGAACTCCTGGACCCAAGCAATCCACTCCTCTCAGCCTCCCGAGTGGCAGGGATCGCAGGCACACATTACCACATCCGGCTAATGTTTTAAACTTTTTGTAGAGACAGAGGTCTCGCTATGTTGCCCAGGCTGGTCTCAAACTCCTGGCCTTCATCAATCATCCCTCCTCAGCTTCTCAAAGCATCGGATTACAGGCATGAGCCACCGCACCCAGCCCCTGATCCTTCGTACGTTGGCTTTAGGGAGATGTCAAGGAAAGGACCGTGATGAGACAGGAAACACAGAATGGACCCATGCCCCACAGACAGAAGGAATGGAGCAGGTCCTGTTTCTACCTGCCCCTCCCAGAAAAAAAAAAAACAAACACGGAAATTAAAGAATCAACCCAGACTTTAAATGAGATACATTTTAATCGGTTTCGTTCTGTAGGTGGCCAAAGAAGGGGGACCCGGAGGCCAGGGTGTGGGGAAGAGGAGGACAGAGAAAGTGACACCTTCTCGGGGGGCTCCCGGCTTCTTCCTTCTGCCCCCACCTGCCTTGTCACTCTTCCTGGCTTTAGGGCAGAGAACGTTTGACATCCTCCGTGCACAGATTGAAGAATCAGCACTCAGGAGCCCTCCCCAGGAGAAGCCCCTTGTAACCTCCTACTCAGATTCAGCTCTCTGCCCTCTCTGACTCCCAGCAAAATCTCAGAAGACCCCCAGGATCACGCTCTCTGGAAGTCCTACCCCGTCGGCCTGTGATGGGCACCCCCCCCCATGCCTCCCCGACTTCTCACTCTTTCCCAGAATGTTGTGTCCATCCTTCAGTCCCACCCAACACCCATCAAGTTTCTATGACTTGTTTGCACAAGACACAGCCTCCCCCATGAATAAGGAGAAAGATTCTCGTCCACGCCCGAGTCCCGGGCTCCAGCGCAGAGCGTCACTGTCTCTGAAGAATGTGACTGATAGGTGATTCTGGTCCTAACGTTCGCACAGACCCAGGGCACAATGTCACCTCATCCCTGCCCCTCCCGTGTGAGTTTTGTCTGGCTCCCCCAGCCTCCCCAGTGACACACGTTGTCTTCTTCTGTTTATATTTTCATCCCACACTGGACACCTGAGCCATCCCTGGGCTTTTTTCATTGTTGTTATGTTTGAAACGGAATTTCGTTCTTGGTCGCCCAGACTGGAGTGCAGTGGCGCGATCTCTGCTAACTGCAACCTCTGCCTCCCGAGTTCCAGCGATTCTCCTGCCTCAGCCTCCCGAGTAGCTGGGATTACAGGCACCCACCACCACACCTGGCTTAATTTTTGTATTAGTAGAGACAGGCTTTCATCGTGTTGGCCAGGCTGGTCTCGATCTCCTGACCTCAGGCGATCCGCCCGCCTCGGCTGGGACTACAGGCATGAGCCACCGCACCTGGCCCACTCCTGGGCTTAATGTCCCAGAACCCAGCATGACTGGCGCCCATGAGAGATGAACATGTTTTATGTTGAATAAAAGCTTGTTTCTGGGCTCTGGAGATCAGGGTGTGCCCCTCAGGGGATCTGGGGCTGGAAACATCTGATACCTCCCGGCCTCTCTTCACACCCGGCCTTTCTCCTAACATTGGGGTGCTGCTGACAGCGTGCACCTGCTCGTAAGCACAGATGGTGCCCTATCTCTTCCCAGCTCTTAGTCCAGTGGCCTCAGGTTGCTAGCTTGAAGTCAGCCGGCGGGACTATTTACACCATGGAAACTGACAAACGCTGCAACACTAACCTTTTCTTCTTCCTTGGAGAGCCCGTTGTTAGACCTCTACCAGCACACCACTGCCTTCCTGCCTTACTTTCTTTGGGTACCTTGCCTCCTGACCTCCACTGATGAAGGGCTCTCGGATCCTGCCTCCCCATCCAAAAATGAAAGGAGAACTCAGGCTGAGGACGCAGGTGCCCAGCACCCAACTTCTGAGCATTCAACGACCTCAGTCCGTCTTAAAGTTCTCACAAGGGCTTGCCTCTGTCACCATGAGTAAAATTCTATTTCAAGAACTCATGGTGCCACCCCTGGAAAACGTCCTCAAGCCAAGCTCTAGTTTTCAATCCCACCATCGAAACTGAAAAACAAAAACAAGAAAATCTAAAAAAGGGAATGTATGTTTGAAATGTAGGGCTGCTCCTCCAAATCTATTTCCCCCTCTTCCTGTCTCTTATTTACAGATGGAAAACTCCAGCTGCTTCTCTGTGAAATAGCCACAACTACGGGTGGTTCGTCCCATGCAACTACCCCGATTCCACCAGCATCTGGATGAAATTCACCTTTAGAAAATCCTAAAACAAAAGAAAAAAAGGAGTAGAGATGGAACAGGCAAGTTGCCTTTTATTCCCTACCAAATCAACACATTCCCAATGTGCTAATGAGAGAATGTGTGATAAAATGTCTTTAAAAAGAAACTAAAAAGTACATATATGTGTATCTACATATATGAATGTAGCTCTTTCTCTCACACACAGCCCCCTACCCCTACCACGTAAGCCTGATATTTGTGAAGTCTGTCAAATTTCCAGATAATTTCTTTTTAACGTAACTGCATCATTGGCCTAAGGTTTCCCGATGGGGCTTCTTACAGTCTGTCTTTGGAATTTCTAGAAGGGTCCCTAACCATACGCTAAAGAAATGTCCATGTGTAGGGCCTGGAGTGACAGCTCACACCTGTAATTCCAGCACTCTGGCAGGCCGAGGTGGGCAGATCACTTGAGGTCAGAAGTTTGAGACCAGCCTGGCCAATATGCTGAAAACCCGTTTCTACTAAAAATACAAAAATTAGCCGGGCATGGTGGGGCACACCTGTAATCCCAGCTACTCAGGAGGCTGAGGCAGGAGCATCACTTGAACCCGAGACATGGAGGTTGCAGTGAGCTGAGATCACACCACTGCACTCCAGACTGGGTGACAGTGAGACTCCATCTCAAAAAAAAAAAAAAAAATGTGCATGTGGAAAGCTAACGAGTCGAGCCCCCCTACCTGCTTGTTCAAGGGCACGGTGATTCTGACCTACATATGACCCCAAATCGACTTTTGGTTTGATTTCTTCTTGGAGCAAGTTCTCAGCAACAGTTTCTGAAGCCTGGAGCTCGTGACGTGACGTACTTCAGGGGTCACAATCGTGCCAGATGGTGTTGGGGTCGAAAGAATCACTAGGACCTGTGAGCTGTCCCAGGAGAGGGAGGAGCCTCTCCCCGTGGAGGAAATGGGTGGGCTCTCTGGAGCTAAGCTGGACCCAGAGCTGCAGAGGCCACGATCTTGGGAAGGACCGCTGGCTCCGGCTGCTTTCTCAGGGATGCCGTCCAGGATCTAAGCTGCAGGGAAGCAGATTCAGACGAGGGAGGGTCCCGAGGCCCGACAGAGAGAGATGGAGACTGTGTCCTCTACAAGATCTGAAACTTCCAGGCACTCTGATCCTTGTAGTCCAGAGGGTCCATGGGATTGTAGGTGAATTTCCAGGTACCCGTGGGGTCCTTGAATTCCAAGCTATCCACAGGGCTGTAGGCGCCATAGCTCTGGCCTGATAGGGACGTGGGGGACTGGGCCAGGGAGGGCCCCACGGAGGGGCCAGAGAGGGGGCTAAGAGCCGGGCCCCCTAGCTGGGGCACCATGGGAGAAAGGTAGGGGTCTAGGCCGCTGAAATAGGAGCTTGGAGACCCATAGGCGGAGGGGGAAGAGCAGAAAGCGGAGGCCGGGGCGTAGGTCATGGCATAGGGGGCCGAGGTCAGAGATGGTGCGGAGGCCACCAGCCCAGCCCGCTGCGCCTCAGGCAAAGGGGACTCTGAGGCCGGGCTCCAGATGGACACAGTGGCCACGGCCGTGCTGGGGGAGCCTGAGGGGCCGGGCAGAGGGGGGCTGTAAGAATCTGAGATGCCCAGGGGGTCTGGACACACATCCGTGGAGGGTCTTGGGGACGTGCCCGCCTTCCTCTTGGCAGGCCGGGCCTTGGCCTGACTCCCTGGGGGCTGCTGCTGCTGTTTCTGCTGCTGTCGCTGCTGTCTGCATTTAGCCCTGCGGTTCTTGAACCACACCTGGGGAGCAAGAGGGGAGACAGAGGTGGGTAAGTGGGGAAGAGGCCCAGGAGAGCCGCAGGGATCCCAGGAATGAGGATGCTCATTAGTGAGAGATGCCAGGGTCACATCTCTCTACTTTGCATCCAGCTGTGGGGCATCTATTCATCCATCCATCCATCCACTCATACATGTGCGTGCCTGTGAACACACACACACATCACACCTACATCCATCCATCCACTCATACATGTGTGTGAACACACACATACATCACACCTACATCCATCCATCCAATCATACATGTGTGTGAACACACACACACATCACACCTACATCCATCCATCCAATCATACATGCATGTGTACATGAACACACACATACATCACACCTACATCCATCCATCCACTCATACATGCATGTGCCTGTGAACACACACATACACCACACCTACATCCATCCATCCAATCATACATGCATGTGTACATGAACACACACACACATACATCACACCTACATCCATCCATCCAATACAAACATACACACATACAATTATACACGCACCATACACACACCACGCATACATTTACCCATCTACCTTATACATACATACATTGTACATATATTCATCCATCTGATCAAACATACAAATATGCAATTACAGACACATACATTGTACACATATACATCATTCATAGCTGCACTTTATCTAATCATACATACATACAACACACATATTTCATTGATCGATCCAATTATACATACATGTGCACACGTACATATTTACATCATACAAAATACATACATGCAATTGTACATATGCCATACACACATTCATTATGCATGCATTCATCTGAGCATACATGCATACCTCATACGTGTATATGTCATACACACATTCACCAGTCCATCTGATCACACATACATTACACAGACGCTTACCCATCTGATGATATGTACAAGTGTACACACATACATCATACATAGATTCATTCATCCATCTTATACATACAATTATATGTACATACATCATACACACATACATCATACATGCATTAATGGTCTAATTATACATGCATACATCATATGCACATTCATCATACATCTGATCATACAAGCAAATATATAATTATACACACATACATCATTCACATTAATCCATCCAATCACACATATATACACGCCTACAAACACACATTTTGTCCAATCATATACACATGCATACACTCATAAATACACCCATCCATCCAATCATGCATGCATACATACAACTGTACATGTGTACATACGTCATATATACCTACATCATGCACGCATACATTCAACCATCTTATCATACCTATGTGCACTCATGCAAACACACATATATACATGTATCCATCCCATCATACACACAGATACTCATGTATGCACACACATACACTCATCCATGCTTCCAATCATACATACACACACACACATATCAGTCACACATACATACATTCATCTATACATTCATCTATGCACCCACCCACCCATCCATCCACCCGTCAGTTCATAAACATGCATTAACCGTCTTCTGCTACTCTGAGGGACCATCCATGGAACTGACATTCTAGTTGGGAGAGACAGAGTCTAAATAAACAGTAAGTACGTAAATCAGGTGGTATCTTGGCAATAAATATTGCGGAAGAAACAACTGAGCTGGGTAAGGGGCAGCAGCGGAGTCAGGGTCGTGGGGAAACACTGCAGGCTGAAATGCTGTGGTCAGTGTGGGTCTCATTGATCGATAAGCAAAGACTCAAACAAGGCGATGGGGCCTGCCACATGGTTATCTGGAAAACGAGCATTCCAGAGAGAGGACACTGAGTGCAAAGGCCCCCAGGTAGGGGGTTTCCCGCAGGCAGGTCAGAGGCCAGCGTGGCTGGAGAGGAGCGGAGGGCGGTAAGAGCAGTAAGAGGCGGGGAATCGGCGGGATGGGGGGGAGGAATTACTGTCCCCTTTATAACGGTGGCTGTAACCCTGTGATCTCTCCCTCCTCCCATCACTCTGGGTCCAGGGAGGGCCCATGGAAGGTCACAGGAGGGGTCCGGCGACCTGCCACCATACCTGAACCCTGGACTCGGGCAGATTGATCTTCAGAGCCACCTCCTCGCGGGCATAGACGTCTGGGTACTGGGTCTTGGCAAACAGTGCCTCCAGCTCCTCCAGTTGGCTCCGGGTGAAGGTGGTCCGCTCCCGCCGCTGCTTCCTGGGGGCGCCTGGGGCGGGATGGGAAACAGGACCCTCAGGTCATCCACATCTGCTGGTGTGAGGAAGCCCTGAGGCTGGTGGGATGCCAAGAATTCCATCCTGGGTGCCGTGTGCTGAACTAGGAGTGGAATACACGTTCCCTGCCCCTCTATGCCTCTCCCTATCCTGGCCTCCTGTGGCTCATGCCTGACCCCGAGGGGAACTGGCTTTAGCCCTACAAGGTGATGTGAGTCATTTTCCCTCTTCCAAACTCTCTTATGCACGGTCTAAGACATATCCAGTTGAAGTAATACAGCGACCATTTCTAGCCTATGTCCACACTGCTCAACTTAGTGGGAAAAAAAAAATACTAACTAAAGAATAATGATACAAATAAATGAGTGCTCACTCCGCTCAGAAATAAGGATCTATAAAAATTAGCCGGGTGTGGTGGCTGGTGCCTGTAATCCCATCTACTTAGGAGGCTGAGGCAGGAGAATCACTTGAACCCAGGAGGTGGAGGTTGCAGTGAGCCGAGATGGCACCATTGCACTCCAGCCTGGGCTCCAGGAGCGAAACTCTGTCAATAAGAGAAAGAAAGAGAGGAAGGAGAAAGAGAGAGAGAGAGGGGAGAGAGGAAAGAAAGAAAAAGAGAGAAAGGAAGGAAGGAGGGAGGGAGGGAGGGAAGGAAGGAAGGAAGGAGGGAGGGAGGGAGGGAGG